AATATTATATATTATATATATATATTATATAGAGATGAGAGAGAGAGAGTAGAGAGAAGAGAGAGTAGAGAGAGAGAGAGAGAGAGAGAGAGAGAGAGAGAGAGAGAGAGAGAGAGAGAGAGATATCTTCATGAATATACTCTTTGATATATATATATAATATATATATATATAATAATATATTATATATATTATTATATTATATATTATATATATAATATATATATATATATATATATATACATATATATATATATTATATAATATATATATATATATATATATATATATATATATACTATCATATATATATATATATATATATATATGTATCGGACATAATAATATATCTTTTAGGCAAAGTCTTTATCTTGTCTTCCGTGATGCATAGTGTAATATCAGTTCATTAAGATGCATAATATCATTCATAAATTAATTTCTTTTTAGTGTTCTGAAATTATCATCATAAGGTATTCAGCATACACGTATTTTTCGCAATTATCATGATGCAATGCAATTTGTCATCTAATCAAGAAATCAGATTCCTCTGAAAATATGACAAATTATATCGTTCTTGACATACGCCAGGAGATACAATTCATCCCTTGATTTAGTTATTACTATTATGTGTATAACGAGCACATTTTTATGTACATGTAACTCCTAGAAAATGTAACCCGCAAACAAATTTTGAAGAGACTTCCTGACACAACCTTCATTCGTACTGTTTTGTTCAGCCTGTCGTTATCTATGTCTAGCTTCAAGACTATCTGCTTGAAGCTTTCACACAGAGAGAACGTTGAACGCGTGTATTATATATTCCTTTTGACACGCGACTAAAGCTGTCGAACAAAGAAATCGCAGAATATTGGTGTATGCGCATATTTGATAACCGCTTCCGAATTCTTATTTTTTTTCGTAAATTTCATATTTCTTAATCACTAAGTTTCCTAGAATGATTACTGGCGGTATCAATAGTGGTAGCAGTAAGAGCAGCGGCAGCAGATGCGCTACTGCTGCAAATAGTGTAGCTGACAGCGGTTATAATATTAGTATTAGTATCTTTGCTATGAATATTACTGTCATCCTAATCTTTATTATTATCAATATTTTTTTTTTGTTATTACTGTTTTAATTATTATTATTAGCACATTATCATAACCATATCAATAACTATAATCATAGTTTGGATTACAATATTATTGTGATTATCATAATAATTATTATGATTACCATAATAATAATTATTATTGCTGTTATTATTACCAATAATTATTATTGTTATTATTAATACCATAATTTTTTATTGCTATTATTATTACCCATTAATTATTATTGCTATTATATTACCCAATATT